TTTTCACAGGTTTTCACAGGTTTTCTGGATAGGGTAATTATATAATGCTATATATAGATTCCCGGCAGATGCGAAAAATAATTAGTCCCTCAAGTGCCAAAACTGCCAAACGATGCCTCTTCCATTGTCTGCAAAACCTCAGGTCCGCAAGACAACACAACACACAAACACATGAGCAAGTCATTGCGGTACTAAATTACCCGAAATCAAAACTTGAGCTCCAATGGGTGTTGTACAAGCAACCCAAAAGAATGCAAGGTCGCACAGGCTCAAAGACCAAGAAACTCCACTTTAGGAGGCTACCCACCTCTTCCATTCGATGAGCTGCATCGAGCTGACGCCAACAGGATAAGAGCCCTGGAAGCGGGGGGACGGTTTAGGGTTTCTAACAGGGTTTAGGGTTGCTTAACTCTGGGTTTAGGGGTAAGGTTTCGGGGTTCGGCCCTCACAATGGTGAATTGCTGGTAGCGCAAGACAAGTACAGTACACTCGTCCTTATAAGTAAGAGAATCATATAGCATGGCCCAAATTCTGGTTTCAGATGCCAGAATCGGGCACTCCCATTTTGTTCAACAGTTTCAAAACTTCTAAATACCCATAGGCTCCATGGTAGTTCCGTTTTGTGGTTTATATTTAGGATCCTATAAGGTAAACTCTACAATGGTAGTTCTAAACTAAACCCGAAGGCCCCCCCACTCTGAGACCTTATCCTGAACCCTAAACCCTGAACCCCGGACCCTAAACCATGAACCCTATAAAAACTTCCCTAAACCCTTTTAGGGAATCCCTTTAAAAGGAACCTATATGAACCCTATAAGCAACCCTGCACCCTCCCCACCTGCTTTGTCGAAGATGAGACTCTGCAGCTTCTGGTTGAACAGGCAAGTGTCTTCGATCCTCTCCTCGGGCTTCGGGTTTTCCCATGGGGACGTTTATAATTCGATTAGGGGGCTCCTTTATAGTTATGATTAAACAGGAAGCCTAAGGAACAGTATTGGTGATCATTTAGGCTTCTATCTTACTCTGCCGGGATGATTGCCCCCAGCCTGTATCAGCCGATGTTAGATGTTAGAAGTCATGTATAAGTACAGTACAACTAGAACATACCTGTTACAGGGTGGGGGGCAATACCCAAGGTGTAAGGCTCACGGTTTAGTAGGGTTGAGAGCTGTATTCACAAGCCGGAGACAAAAAGATAAACACAAAAACGTGTTCTGCACATCAGGTAGGAACCACAAAAACCTAAAGCCTGAACCCTAGACCATTAAAGGCCAACGCATGCACCACTGAAGCCCTAAACCCAAAGTCCGAAAACCACAACACAAAGGCCAAAAGGTATACCATTGAAGCCCCAAAACTCCAGGTCCCAAACCCCGAACCAAAAACAATGTCAAAAAGGTACACCTATAGTCTCCATTGTGGTTCCTTTTTTGTGTACCCAGCTTTAAAAATAAGGATCCTCAAAGGTAACACCCAAAACGGAACCCTAAACCCTAAACCATTGAACGACGTCTCCAAGATGAACTCCACATCCTCTGCCCTCGAGGCTTCCATGCTTTCCTGGGCGCGGCACAAAACAAGCTTGGGGGCTTGGGGTTTATAGGCTTTCTATTATTTAGGGTTGAGGGTTTAGGTTTTTGGGGTTTGGGGCGTAGGGTTTAAGGCTTTAGGATTTAGGGTGTAGGGTTTGGGGTCGGGTTTGGGGCTTTGGGCTCAGGGTCCAGAGTTTGGGGCTCAGGGTAGAGGGTGTAGATTTAGGGTTGAGGGCTTGAAGGCTGCGTCAGTTTGAACAAAAAGTTCGGGGTGTATAAAATCATAAGGCTTTGGGCTTCGAGGTCTGCGTCTAGGGTTTGGGGTTTAGGGCCCTTTTTCCTGTTGCTCAGCTCCAGCAAGGCCCCGAAGCCCCACAACACAAATCCCAAACCCCAACCCTAAACCCTTTTAAACCCTAGGTTTAGGGTTTAGGTTTTAGGGTCTAAACCCACAACCCTAATCCAACTGCTGGCAAGCGAAAAGGTTTCACCCTTGGCTTTAAGCGTGGTTGAGGGTTCGTGGCTCAGGGTTTAGGGTTGAGGGCTTTGGGCTTATCGGGTTTAGGGTTGCAAGTTTAGGGCTTGGGGTTGAGGCGAAGGCTCTACCCGTAGGTTTCGCAGGCTGCTGGCCATGTCCTCTACCGCCTTCCGCGAGTGCATTTTGACCTCAGGCGACTCCGGGTTCATGCAGGCTTAATGGGGTTTAGGGTCTATAGGGTCTAGGGTTTTGGGTATAGGGTTTAGGGTCTAGGGTTTAGGGTCTGGGGTCTGTGTTCTGGGGGGTTTAGGGTCTAGGGTCTAGGATCTGGGGGTTTAGGGTTTAACGTCTAATTGGTCCCTCTTTGGGGTTTCGACAGTTATCTGTGTTCTGGAGCTTGTGCTGGCTCTCTTGGTTTTTCTTCGGGGTTTTCAAGCATTCATGCGGAAGAAAAGCTCAGGTGTTAGGCTATAACTTCGGGGTTAGAGAAGGTCGCAGGGCTCAGTTTGCAGGGCTAGGCTTGGGAGCTTTCGGGTTTAGCTTCAGGGCTCTTCTAAAAACTTGCTAAAGACAAGCTCCTCGAAGTCTAAGAACACGACGGGACCAAGCCTACACCTGCTTACAGCGTCAGAACCCTGAAGATTAAACCCTGAACCCCACCCCCCCCGGCAAAACCCAAAGGATCGAACGAGAACACTACAACTCACATAAACCGCGAAGCTCAAAACCAACCTAGAATCCTGACGTGGCATGACCTTCAGAAGCAGACGTTGGACACTACTCGGAGGATCGTTGGACTTCGCAAGTAAGGCCGTTAGCACCTTAATTGAGGATAGAAGTATTGATAAGTGTACTATAACAAGAATAACACTAGTAGTAGTAATGCTGATAAGAATCAAACTAGTAACACCAATAACAATGAGAAGCAGAATAAGAATAGAAAGCTATTTCATTTATTGTGCAACGTGCAAGGAGAACGCCTCAAAGCCGTGTGTCTGAAGCGCCTCTGAGTTCTGAAGCCCGGCTCTCAATAAGCTCCCAGTCCTGTGTAGACCCAGGTTTAAGGTCTAGGGTTTACAGTAGGGATTAAGATTTAGGGTTTAGGGTTTAAGGGTTCAAGGTTTATGGTTTAAGGTTCGGTTTTAAGGGGTTTAAGGTTTAGGGTTTAAGGTTTAAGGTTTAGGGTTCAGAGTTGAGGAGTAATTCCGTTTGAGTGCCGTCGGGTTAGGAAGTGCTACAGGCCCCCACCCCTCCTTCTCAGAACTTCTCAAACCTTGCAGAGCCGTCTTGGGCAGAATACTACGAAGCCGTCAGGTGATTTCAATCAGGGGCCTTAGTTGCGGGGAATACTCTTCATTCAGTGGTATCCCACCGTTGGGGTTGCACATTGTCTGAAAACCCGCTTTTTCAGTAGCAGACATGGAGCTATTGAACTGATCTTTACAATCGTAAACCCTTAAAACCCGAAAACCCTATACTCCTTAGATCTTTTTATGATCCCTTGTAGCACCCCTTATAAATCCCGTTAAAGGAACCCTTACAGGCACGCTTATTCGCAGACCTTTAAAAGAAAAGGCAGGCCGAGCGGCGTGCTGCCTGAGCCTCGCCTCATCCGCCTTTACAAGCTCGGCCACACACCAGGCCCTGCGAAAGAGTACCTTGGCTTTCGAGTTTAGGTTGTTAGGGGCTGAGGGTTTAACCCTAAACCTTAAACCCTAAACCCATAACCTTAAACCCTAAGTACTAAACCCAAGGGTTTGAGGGTCTAGGGAGTTTAGGGTTTCGAGTTTGGCTTAGGGGTGCTTTCAGGATTCCGGTCATGGTTCTATACTCAGGGTCTGGGGCGGGGCTTGAACTCTGTCAGGCTTGTGCTAAGGGCTCTGAGAGGGTTAGGGCTTCAAGGTATAGGGATTGAAGGTAAAGTAGAGGAACCTGTTAAAGGACCCTCCGAGGAACCCTGTCCCTGCAAAAGCACGCTAACGACAAGATAGCTTTGAGCTAGTACAGGCTCCTGTTTCTGCTTTTAGGGTTTAGGGTTTAATTCGTTTAGGGTTTATGGGCTCCTGGTTTATTGTTTAGGGTGTTGAGTTCAGGCTTTCGGGTTCAGTGTTTAGGGTCCAGTCTAGGGTTTCGGGCGAAATACCTTTTGAACAGCACTTGTTGGAGTAAGGAACCCAAGGAATGGCGGCAACGACTTAGTGAGACTCCTATGCCCTATGCTAATGCGTACTGGGGTATGGAAGGCCTCCATGAGGGAGCTCTAGGAGTTTAGGGTTGAGGGTTTCGGGGTTTAGGGGCTTAGGGGTTTGGGGGTTTGGGGGTTAAGGGTTTAGGGTTTAGGGGTTTAGGGGCAAAACCCAAACCATAAACCCCTGACCTAAAACCAACTAAAATCCGTTTCCGAAAACTTTAAGCTGCAAGGCCTCTTGGCTAGGAGCATGATGGTACCACCAGCTTTGTGGAACACACCAAAACCAGTGCAACAACAACGCTGAACAAACACACAACCGTGCATAAAGCCTTCACACCTAAATCCACGGTACAGACTCTTAGCAATAGGGTGCTTGCGAAAAGGAATATTAACGGAACCAAACAGTCGAGGCAAGGATCGAAGCCAGCATCCACGGCGACGACTTGCGAAAAGTGTGGATTCTTCCTGGAAAGCAGAGCCATCATGTCGTCAAACCTTGGCGCAAAGCATAATATGCCTTTAAACGGTTCTTTAAGAGGTTCAAAATGGTTGTGTACGACTTCCATAAGGGGCTTGGAGGTTTAGGGTCTAGGTGGCTATAGGCCTGCAACAGAAGTTGGTTGGGCTTAGGACTTTCAAGGATTTGGGGTTTTAGCCTTACGGCATTGCCGGTGAGGGCCTGGAGCCTTGAGGGTTTAGGGCTTAGAGTTTTGCATTTAAGGTTGTGCAATTCGGAGCATCCGGAGTACTTCGCGAATGGTTAAAGATAGCTTGCGGGACAGGCCAAGAGTTAAACAAAAATGGATTTGACTTGCACCCAACTCTAGATACAGACCTACTCACGCAAGCACGGCCCACTGTGCCCGTGGCCGCTACTGGATGGGAGACTCTTTGGCAACGGTGTGGCAGTGGAAGAGTGATTGTCGTCCGTGAGTTGATGACTTGGCTATGTGAATGGATTGCTTGGACTCCTGTGCAGTTCCCAGTTCCCTGTATACCAACAACTAACTTTGCCTTGCCTGCGCACTCGCCCTGCATGCTCGCTTTGCTTGCTTACATGCTTGCTGGGTAATTTGTGTAACTACAGCAACATATTAAGCATGTGCATAAGCCTGCACATAGCGTAAGTGTACACATGGGCAGTTGATGCAGACATGTACACACAGAGGCTGTCTGTGTGTCGACATAGCGGAGGCTTCAGCTATCGGAGCAGGGTCTTGGCGTAGTTTTTGGGCATCGTCATATGGGGACTGGGAGGGTGATACAGTGATACAGCCTGAGCATCCCGTACCTTAAACCCCTATAAACCCTACCCCCTAAACCCCTAAACCTAAACCCCGCCGAGACCTCAAGGCTTGCACCGTGCACCCAAAAACCTTCCTAACTCCGAAGACGAAACTCGAAACATAATAGGTTTAGGGTTTAGGTGGCCGCCGGACTCCGAAACTTTCTGTAAACTCCCAGATGATTCTGTAAACCCCTTCGAAAAGCCCACTGCGATTTAGTTGAACATGCCACAGTTTTAATGGCTGCCCCGGTGTGGGATTGAGGGTTGAGGGTTTAGGGTTCTAACGCACCTGTAAAAAGCAGCTCTATAATCCCTGCTTAGGGGCTGAGTACCCTAGCCCAAAAAAGGCTAACCATTTTGATTCTAGTAGGAATGTATAAGCCCAACAAGGTGAAAGGTTACCTGCTCAGCCCCTAAGCCTGGCCCATTCAACTCCAAAGGTGGATCCCAGGGGCTTGTTCATCTCGCATCCAATGCTCTGGCCTCTGGGAGGAAGCCCGGTCGGGTGAAAGTACCAAGGGCTGTGTCGACTCTAAGTTCCCGGGCTTAGGAATGAAATGTCTTACAAGAGGCGTTTTAGGGTTTAGGGTTTACGGCTATTTTTCTGAGCGATCGTGTAGGGGATTTATGAAGGTTGCACAAATGAGGCTTCTTTACGAACTCATCTAGTGCTTCATCAGGCGTTACAAAGGCTTTCTAGGGTTTTGAAGGGGACGTCGGTTCTTTGGGGGGCATGGAGTGAAGATTTTGGGGCTGCATGGTTAGAGTTCAGGGTTTAGGGTTCAGGGTTTAGGGTAGGGGAGTTTGGTGTGCTTTGAGAGGCCTGATAGCATGAGGGATTTACAAGGTTTAGGGTTTTTATTGCAACTTCTAGAGCCCCAAAACCCCTTAACAAAGCAATGCGGCTTCAAGTAAAGGTGGTGGGGGGATCCTTGACGAGGGGCCCTTAAAACCCCTAAACCCTGAACCCCTAAACTGCGGGATTCCTTGTAAAGGTGCCCTTCAACATTGGGTATTGGAGTCTTCGGACAAAAAACCGTATACCCAAATGCAACGACGAACCCTCAACCCTAAACCCCCAAACCACCCGGCAGCACACAGGCCGGAGAACCCTACGAAAAAGGGACCTCAACGACCAGACTGGGGTCTGTGGGGAGTGGGGGGGGCAGTATACTGCACATATATGTATGTCTATATATGCATGTAACAAATGCATAGACTACGGATATATCGGAACTACAAGGATCCCGATGAATGGTTCATCAGGCCATTATATTAGACTCCCCTCTGCACCAGCCGGGCGAAGCTTAGGGGAATTCTTGGCCTGAACAATGACAATAGGTGTGCATTATAATCGAATTAAAATAAGATGTTTGTAATTGCTTGTTAACTACGCATGCTTCTGCGCTGTTGGGCCTCGGAGTTTAGGATTTTGGGCATCCCAAAAATGTTGGGTGTTTTCGAGACTTTCAGCCTCTCAAGCTGGGAGCTTTGGAGTTGTGCTTGGGAGCTTTGAGCTTCAAAGAATGCTGCTCGCTCCTATGGTAAGATCGTCAAGAGGGCCCTGGTGAAAGCACCATCGTTTGATCCTCAACCCCTAAACCTGAACCTTAAACGAATGACTCCGCCCTCCCCCCCCCCCCCGTGGCGGCCTTTTGATGGGCCTTCTGTAGACAGCGGCGCTGTGGTATTCAGCATCTTCGGCAGACCGCACGTGCAACCAGGATGCACCTGTCCGCTACCCCATGCATGCAAGTTTGTTAACGGGGCATCATGGAACACTTAGCCAGCGGATCCATGTAGGTGGAGCCTGTAAGAAGGTGTTGTGGGTTTCTTCTTCTAAGACCTGCAAAAACATATCAGACCAATCCCCTAAACCCTAAGCCTTCAACCAGAAACCCTCAAGCCGTTTGCCTCAGCCCGAATAGTTGAAAGTAGGCCCAAACGGACCCCAGCCTGCCCCGTCACAGAGTCCCGGTCCCCATCGCGATTCTCACAAATGCCTTGGCTGTCCAGTTCTCGAGCCCCTACACCCTAAACCTTAAACCTTAAAACCTTATCAGGATTTGTTTTTAGGGTTTCTGTGTGGGTTCGATAAGGGTTTAGGGTTCGAGGTGAGGGCTCAAGGTTTAGGGTGTAGAGCTTAAGGCTTTACCGTGTTGGGTTCGAGGTTGGGGTTTTAGTATCGAACTCACACCCCCCCCCTCTCCAGAAAAAAAAGAAACCCAAGAGAGAACACGGGTTGTGAAAGCTTACAAACTCCGCTGGGAAGATGCCAGCATGTTGGTTCACGGCGAAAGCACAGATCCAATACACCCGATCGGAGGTGCCCCGCTCTCGCATCAGTGCCTCCGCGGCTCTCCCCCGAAATGAAGGACACTGTTAAGTCTTCAGGGCTTGCCGGGGACTCGAATTATCTACAGTTCTATGCGCTCTACCAAGGGGTAATGGCTGCTAAACTGTAAATAAAGAGAGTTGCAGGTAGGGGTTAGGGATCTTACTGATGAAAGTTTTTGGCTGTGTGGGGATCTAAGAGTGTGCATTCAGCAGTTCAGGGCTCTAGGTGGCCCAGAATAACAGAAAAGGCGCAGCTATAGAAAACAGAGAAGCTTGACAAAGACGGTTTGAATCTCCGTCGCACCCATGTGAAATAGGGCAGCATGATGAGGAGGAACTGAAAAAATGTACCGAAGACCTAACAAAGCACTTTTAAACTGTAGGCGCCCTTTTGTTGCCGGCATCTCCCGCACCTCGAGCACGGACACATCCTCTTCCAGCAGGGCAGCCACGAGCCCGAAGCTACTTTCGCCCGCAGCATCGGCAATGACAGCCGCCACCAGATCACGGAACAGATTCCGCCAGGAGTGCGTGACCATTCCTGGGTCCGAAGGATCTGGCACAAAAGCCCTGGTTCCCAAGGAACCTCTCTGCAAGAAACCCCGGCTTCAAAATCACGCTTCATGTTTGCAACTATAAAAAAGCCTAAACCCTAAACCGAAAACCCAAAACCCCATAAGAACCCTGCACAACGCATGAAAGCCAAACTCTTGACGAAGAGTCGGTCAGGCTGACGTGGGCCGTTTATAAAGGTCGCGTAGGCACAGCGTCCCTCGCGGGTATGTGGGATGATGGCCTGCCTGACCTCAGGTTTACAGCGTCTTTTGGTTCGGGTGTAGCGTTTAGGGTTTTAGGTTTCTTTGGTTTAGGGTTTAGGGCTTCTGTGGATTAGGGTTTAGGGTTTATGGTTGCTTCAAAGGCCGAGGGCTCTGGCATTCCAGGCTTTGTAAAGGTTTCCGACGGCAGTTTTAGTGATGTTCAAGGGATCGAGACTATGCTTGGGCTTAGCTTTTTAGGGGTTCCATTTCATTTCTATAATTCTTTCATATCCCTGATGGAGCCCTTATAGAACCATAGAACACTTATGGAACCCTTGTAGATCCTTGGAAAAGCCCAACCCTAAACCCCGCACCCTAAACCCTAAATCCCCAACCCAACCCCAAACCCTGAACACCAAGCCCTAAACCCTCAACCCCAAAACCCTGAACCCCAAACCCGAAACCCTGAACCCTTTTTAAGCACAAACCCCGAACCCTAAACCCGAAACCCTGCACCCTAAACCCCAAATCCGGAAACCCCTAAACCCCGAACCCAAAACCCTGAACCCCCAAACCCCAAACCTGAAACCCCGCGAAGACCAAGGCGCCACGTCGGAGGTGGTGTGCTGCCCGGCCTGGTAAAGAGGGCTTTTATAGAAAAAATGCTAAAAGCGAGCATCGTCTTGCAAAGAGGGGCCCTAAACCCTAAACCGATACAAACCCTAAACCGATAAAAAAAAAAACCTAAACCGACAAACAACCCTAAACCCTGAACCGATTTTTTTTAAAAAAACACCTACACCCTAAACCGATTAGAATAAACATCCAAAAACCCTCGTTTGCTATGGCCCGGCCTGGTAGTGCGGCATCAGCCGGCCTCCCAGGCCTTGGTTTGTTGGGAGAAACCCAGAAGCCTCGGGGTTTTCTTCTACCTGGACCCCAATTGCATGTCAATGTAGAATAATAGCCTTTTATAGGTTTTGGGCGGTTATTTTCCCTACTTTGGGTGGTTTAGGTAAGGGAATTAGGGCTTAGGCGTTTGGGGTTTAGGGGTGTAGGGTTTAGGGGATTGGGGTTTAGGGGTTTAGGGGTGTAGGGCTCAGGGGATTGGGGTTTAGGGCTTAGGGTTTAGGGTTTGGGGAGTAGGGGTTCCTTGTGAGGTTCCTGGCTTCCTTCAAGGTTTCTTTATGGGGCTCCTACAAGGGTTTGGGGTCTAGGGGGGGGTCCTTTAAAGACGCGTTTCTGCAAGGCTTCTGGCATGCGCTCCGTCCTACACTAGGGGGGGCTCCTTAGCGGAAGCGTTCCTTCAAAGCGTCGGGTTTAGGGCTTAGGGCTTGGGCTTTGGGGTTTGATGAAGGGGTTTCGAAGGTTTCCGTTTAGGGTTTAGGGTCTAGAAGGTTTCAGCAAAGAGTTCGAAAAAGCGCTCTCTTCCATGAGGTTTCGTCAACACGAGGGGTTCTATCATGTTCACATCCGGGTCTTGAGAAGGGTTGCACAAAGTTTCCATAAGGGTTGCAACAACGCTTGTAGAAGGGTCCTATAGAGTTTCGTAAGGGTTTCATAGGGCTTACGAAATGGTTGGGCCTGAAGCGGGACACCTGGCTCACTGGCTCACGTGTATATAAACCGTAAACCCTGTGCGAAGCTTCTGGAAATCCCAGCAAACTCTTCTGAGACCTTTGGAGACAAACTTGCAAACTAAATTTTAAAAAACGCTGAAACCCTACAGTATAACCCTCTTACTATACCATAACCCAGGCGCTTTTGTAGAAATTGAGCAGAGCCTGGGCCGTGATCCCCCTCATCGACAGCTGTTCGACCTTAGGTTTTCGGGTCCTCTACGCCTAAACCTAAAAGCACGAAGACTAAAACCACCCCACCTTTCAAAACCAATAAAAGCGGTCTGACCTTCGCTTGCCATTCAGGAGGGGCTTCAGTCCTGGACATTAAGCTTCGCAGGGGCTCTGTCAGGTCTTCTATCAAGGGTTCTCTATAAGGGTTCTGTTCAGGGTTCAGGGAAGGGTCCTGCAAGGGCTCTATAAAGGTTCCATAAAGGCTCATTTTTACGGGTTCTATAAGGGTTCTGGAAGGGTTCGATGAGCACTCTGTCAGAGCCCTGTAAGGGATTGGGAGCTTTGGCGCTTTGGGGTTTGGGTAGAAGTTCGGGTTCTAAGGCTTACGGTTCGGAGGAAGGATGCAGAAGCTTCTACGACATGACAGCCAAAGAAAGGTAGCAACCACAGTGAAGACCGTAAAGCCCAGTACTGGGGCGGCTGATTTCAAAAGGCTCAGACAAGCAAACTCAAAGACGGGATAAGCGCAGGAAACACTAAACAGCAGCAGAGGTCCAGCACACCAAAAAGATAGACTAGAGCCACTAGAATATAAACTTTGTAAGACAAGAAACAAAGAGCCCTACACCCTAAAACATCTGGTGCTCCAACATCCTGAGACACATGCATGTATTTTGCCGGAAATTATTAAAATCCTCAACCACCCTCTGTTGCAGCACCTCTGGGGTCTGTAGAATATTTTAGCTGGAAAACAGTTCTAAGCAACACACAAAAACAACCGTAAACCGTAAACCCTAAGCTTAAACCCTAAACCACCAAAAGGCCCCGTGCTTCAGAACGACGGAGTCCTTGGCATTGTACGGGAGGTTTTGCGACCCAGGCATCGACATCGAGTGCTTTCGGTCTCCGCCGTCGTGCGAGGTTGGCGTTGGGCGTTCCTAGCTGGGTTCAGGCGGGCGTAAGGTTGAAAGTTTTGAAGGCTGTGGAATAGAATCCTTAATGGCAGGATCTTCCTAGGCTTATTATATGAGGACCCACATTTCAAGAATCCCTTGTTTTTAGCTCCCTTAGTTTTTACCCTATGTTTTCGGGTTAATGCATGCTCTTCCTTCAGTCGATGAGCAATCGTGACCGCGTGCCTGAAACTCCAAACCAAAGACCCTATTTAAAACACTGTTAAACCTACCAGAGCCGGTACCAAACCCTACAAAGCCAGATGGGCTATACAAACCGTTTTGACAGCCTCCTAGCTGGGAACCCTTACCGAAACCCTATGTTCCCCATTATAACGAAGCCCTTTCTTTCTTCCCTATAACGAAACCCTATAACGAAACCCTATACTCCCTGCAAAGAAACCCCATACTCCCTATAAAGAAACCCTACATTTCCTTACGAAGAAACCCTACATTGCCAAGTCTGGCGTCGTGACAGTCCACATGACCGATTGCATAGCATTAGACACCCCAAGCACCCTTGAAGAGCGTACGCCGAGCTTCGAAAGGATCCAGGTGCCTAGAGTGTTCCCAAGCAGCACAACGGACAGTATCCAGGGGAGGGACTCATAGAGCCCATTCGCGATCCTTCGGGATTTTAGGCTATTTTGGGCTTAATTATGGTTTTCGGGTTTAAAACACCCATACTGGATCGTTTAGGTTTTGGGTTTTGCTATTTCGGACTTTAAAGGTTTGAGCTCGTAGCGGATGCTTAGGGTTTACAGCGCCATGGCGGATCCTGGAAATATACAGGCTGTTAAGTTTTCTTTGAGGGTTCTTTTCCGTTTGCACGTACGTGCGTCCTATACAAAAGCCTACATGAGGCCAGCCATTTCGATTTTTTCGCGTACCTTCAACTCCCAGGAAAAGCAAATAAAGTCGAAAACAACCCCACAAAGTTGGCCATGCAAGCGCATGCCATCGGAGGAACCATGCGAAAGAATGCAACTGGGAACATGGGGGAGGAGTTCTCGACACACGCAAAAACCTTCTAGCACGATCCGCAAGGTTACCCTTTGACCTGCGGGTCGCACTTGTTGTAAGCACGGTTACCCCCTTCGTTGGCTCAGACCTTGATCGCAGCGAGTCATATATACCATTGCTTGGTGTAGCCCTGTTGAGCCTGGCTGCTGACGTCATGTCTGTACCAGCCTGTCCTCGCTGTTCAGTACAAGTGTTTGTCGCAGTTCCTTCGCTCCCAACTGTTGGGGTCTCGACGGTACCAACGATGCTGCCATCACCGTGGACGTTTGCCCCACTTCCTGCCCCTGTACCAGCTCTTTCCACCCGGATTGATGAAGCCCATGGGATGTCGCCCGAGTCGCGGCCATCGTGGTGGTCATTCCCAGACTCGCACTCCCCCCCCACGGCAGACAAACCTTGGCAGTGGAGGGGCCTTCCAAGGCGCCCGCGCGCGTCTCCATCACCGCTTTTCGCCCATGAATCATCACAGGGTGGAGCTTCATTGAACATGTTTTTCCCACTCATCAGAATCAGAAACCTTAAGTCCAGCAAAGCATGCGACTCGGTTTTGCTTTATGCAGAAAGCCCTGGTCGTGCACATGCATCCCGTCAGAAGTCGTCGTTTCCGAGCTCGGACATCTTACTTCCTTGCTCACGGCCACCATTTTGGCGCGTCTTCTGCTCCTCTGCTTCCTTTCTCTAAGGCCCAGGTCCACCATCGCGTCTACCCAATCCTTGAGTTGTCATGACCGTCTCCATGGACCCTGTGGTGTGCTGACCGTCCTCCATCTTCTGCAGGCTGCGCGCAAGACTATATTGTATTATTGTATTAATCCGAAAGTCACTGTACCCTGGCTTCGATCAATCAACGCACTCCTCATGTTTCTGCTGAATATTCGTCATCGCCTCCTCCGGGCCATGATTCCCCTCAGCAGCTCACGGAGAATGTCCACATCAAGCTCCACCTCCCTCACCAGTCCAGGTGGCGCAGGGTCACAAACCCCATGCGGTTCCCTTCTTGAGAAGGCAAAGAGAGAACGCAGGGGAAAACTCGTTGGAACTTGAGCTTGAGCCTTGAGCCTGTTAGGTTTAGGGCTTGGGCTTTAGAGCCCCTTGCGGATCCTGTGCTTACGTTGTTTGAAGCGTTTTGTTTAGTCTCATCGGATTGAGGGTGTGGGGGCTTATGCTGTGTTTCGTTGTCACAAACAGCTCGTTTGTGGATCCTGGGCGTCCTTCAGAAAGAAGAGTTTACGTTTCCCTGAAGGGTTCTATTTTAAGGTCCCGGCAACGGTTCCGATACAAGTTCCACAAGGGGTTGTAAGTGACTTTGTTTTCTTTGTTGCCTGCTGCCTCCAGGGTCTATGGCTTAGGGTAGGGTTATACGGTTTGGTGTTGCGTGATACTTTGCTACAGTTGCTGTTTCGACCCTGGTCCCTTTTGTTTCCAACCTGCAGTGCTCGTGAAGCACAGCACATGCCGAACGATACAGTACCGAGGATGTACTGCATTCCAAAAGGGATTCAATGACCGAATACGATGCATCACCCCTTCAACAAACGGAAACAGATAAGCACAGCAGCACAGGATGTTTCGGACAATGCTAGGCCTTAAGCCATGAGTGCTAAGCCCTTAGCCTTAAACCACTAGGTCTGATTTCCAAGACCCCCTGAACCCTGCACCCAAACAGCCGGAACACCTGGGCCCCCAAAACCCTGAATCCCGGCACGGCTTTGGCTTTAGGGCTTCGGGTTTAGGGTTTATAGGTTGTACAACCCCTGACAAAAGAAAACTATGGAATCATGGAACCCTGATAAAACCCCTTTATGCACCCTCTCAAGCCCTTTAGTTCATCCGGCTAGAGCCCGGTAGCGCCACGGGAAAACCCCTCACAAACTTATAGTTGAGCTAGACATCCCTTATATGTACCGTTAAAGGAACCCTAGAACCGAAACCCTATAAAGCAGCCCTGAAAAGTGTATACCTTAAAGGAGCCCAAAAACCTAAAGCCTTTAGAGGAGCTAAGGAGCCCTAAAAAGGTATTTGGCTTCAAGGAGCCCTGAAAGGAACCCT